TTTCCTAATAAGGGTCCATTCACAGGTTCCCAGTGGATGTGAGTTTGATGGACACTGATTGTCCCAGTACACCTCCTCTGCCCCTCCCCCACACTTCCTCCTGAACCACTTCTCTTCCCAAGCCCCCAGTCCCCCTTTGTTCTCAGCTGGCGTCCGTCCCTCTGTTGGCCCTTGAGCCCTGGGGTCTCACCCTGGTCTTGTGTCCCCCTTTTGCTGCCTTGTCCCCATGCATCTGACCCAGGTATTCCTCAGTGGTCTGTAGCTAAGGAATGGGCTCCCAAGATTTTTGGTAAGGAAAGAGCCACAGCTGTCCCATCCTTCAGGACCCTCCCCCACAAATCTCCATTTGTCGTTGGGTCCAGCCCATCCATGGAGGTGGCTGTCCAGGCGGGAGTGCCCCATTGGTCCTTTGACACCTACTTGAGCAGTCTGGAAGAGCTGAGCTGAGCCCAGCAGGACCTTAGTACAGAGCTGGTGCCTCCAAGTCAGGCTGCTGGGTCTCACCCCACGTTGACCTCTTCTGGCTTGGCCCCTCTGCCTGCAGCTGCCCATTTCTGCCCCTGACTCCAGCATGCCCTATCTCGTCGGCCCACCACCTCCATCTAGGAGCAGAGCAACCTCTTCAGGATGCTCCACTCTTTTTCCTTTCTGGGTCTTTCATTAGGGACTGACCTCAGACTGGGCCTGCACAGTGAGGCAAGGAGAGGGCTTATACCCAGCCCTGTCAACTTCATTGACGGCCCTCCCCCCAGACAGTCCTGGTCTGCCAAGTGAGGCCTAGCCAGGCCTCAGGAACCACTGGGCCTCTGTCCTAGTAGCGGAGCCTCATGGAGCCATGGCTGCCCCTGCTCCGCTCTGTCTGGATCTCAGGGCCCTCACCTGGAGCCTGGGGGAGGGATGGTCGGAATGGCTACTGTCCTGTGTCCAGCATGTCCCTGCCAGCTACAGATGTTGTTCCAGGGGGACAGCCTCGCCCTGGCCTGGGAGGACACAGAATAGGTAACGGGTGGCCAGCAGGGTCCAGGCACCAGGTGGAGAGTCTGGGCAGATGGGGTGTGTTCGGGGGCTGAACCAACAGCTCAGTATGGGGTGAGATCCTTGGCCTGTCCGGGGCTCAGGCTTTCCCAAACCTTCCACCTCCGATGGTCCTGTCCAGGCCACTGATTCCTTGATCTTTGTCTTCTGTGATGACTCATGAAAACTTGATCTCAAAAGGAAATCCTGTGAACATAAATTTTGATGGCAACTGCAGGCCTCTACCTGCCGAGAGCACTGACGCTTCTGTAATGAGACTTGCATCTAAAAATACTCAGCAGGCCCACTGCACACTGGCTCTGATCTTCGTGCCCCCTGGGGTGGATGCCCTCCAATAGGTGACATGTCCGCACTCGGGCTGGGGGCAGGGTCCGGAGCTCAGGACTAAGGAGTGGGGCAGTGGTGGTCAGCAGAGGCCAGAAAGGGGGGATGGTACAGCCTGTGTTTGGGGGGACAGGGGAGCAGGAAGCCTGAAGCTGTGGAGGCAGCGGGGCACTAGAGGTGATGTTGGACCTGGGCGCTGGAGGAAGGGGCACCATACGATGGCTTCTGGGGGCTTGTGGATGGTAGTGGGCACAGTGACCCTCCTTCCTTCCCAGCCTCCTCTCCCAAACCTGGCACCCACTCACCCACTTCCTGTCTCTGTGGGTCTCCCTGTTCTGGACATTTCTCATAAGTGGAACCACACACTCTAGCCTTTTGTGTCTGTTCTCTTACCAACTCATGTTCCAGGTTCATCTGCGTTAGAGTGTCAGTGCTTCACTCCTTTCTGTGGCTGAGTAATATCCTAGTGCAGCCATTTTTGCCCTTTTTCATCTCATGACACATATAAACTAATTGCTAAAATTCTGTGGCACACGAAAAAATCTATTTCTTGCCAATCTGACAAAAAAATTAATTATACTCTTGATTCACATCGGATGGCTGCTGTTGTGTTGGCTGTTGTAATTATTTTTATTTGACATTCTTTAGTTGTTGTTTTTTTAAAATATATTTTATTGATTTTTTACAGAGAAGAAGGGAGAGGGATAGAGGGTTAGAAACATTAATGAGAGAGAAACATCAATCAGCTGCCTCTTGCACACCCCCTACTGGGGATGTGCCCGCAACCAATGTACATGCCCTTGACCAAAATCGAAACTGGGACCCTTCAGTCAGTCCACAGGTCGACGCTCTATCCACTGAGCAAAACCAGTCAAGCTTTATTTGACATTCTGAGGGAAAAGAGGTCGGTGCCCCTGACTCAACAGTTAGGTATTGCATGTTTTAAAAAAAACCTTGTGGTATAGCAGTTGAAAATCGGTGTTCTAGTGTGTTTGTCTGTTTATTAGCTGATGGACTTTTTGGCTGTTGTGAATCATGTCACTATGGACATGAGTCTTCCTTTCTCCTGGGTGGACACCTGGGAACACAATTGCTTAATCTGTGGCGACGAGGTGTAACTGTTTGGGGAACTGCTGATGTCTCAGCAGGGTATGCCTGCTGTGTGTTCCATGGGCCCCTCGCTCTGTCTGCGAAAGCAGAGGATGCACATGTTCCCAGGGCCTTAGCCCCCTGGGTCTCCGCCCTTGGGTCCTGGCTCCCAGTGGAGCCTGGAGCCCTCCACACTGCTGACCAACCTCCTTCTCTGAAGGAGTGTGATGGCTGGACCATGGGCGAAGGAGGACATAGTGCTTGAGCCTCCAAGGCTGCCAAACAGGTTCCATGGGGGGTTTCTGGACACGATTGACTGATTCTGGTTCCTGGGACAAGGGCTTCTGGGGCTCTGGAGGGGGCAGGAGGGGCCATGCAGGCCAGGATGAGGGGTGAGCGTGGGGGAGGATATGTCGCAGGTGGGACTCCATTGGGCACAGTGCAACCTGAGGGCCATCCATGGTGACACCCCCACCCACATGCTCGTTGGCTGCTGTGGACAGTGCTTTCCAAGGAAGCAGCCGAGCCCTGTGGTCACAGAGCCCAGAAGCATCCTGTATCGATTACGCGCAGGCGTCTTCAAACTACGGCCCGCGGGCCACATGCGGCCTGCAGAGGAGTCTGATCCGGCCCGCCAGGTTTTTTGGGCAGTGAGCACAGCCGAGGTGTTACAGTAGGAATTAGTAGTTCATATAGTCCGGCCCTCCAGCTCTCTGAGGGACCGTAATCTGGCCCCCACTTTAAAAAGTTTGAGGACCCCTGGTTAGGGCCTGCTTTGTTCGGGGATGTGTAAGGGGGAGCCGTGGTGGGGAGGGTCTTGGTCGAGGGACATGTCCTGTACTGAGTCTTGGCTGCAGAGAAGGGACAAGAGTGAGCCAGCCAGTGCCTGAGGCCAGCTTTGTGAGCTTTCTATGTTGGGTAGAGGCGGTTTCTATCCGCCTGCTGTCCCAGGTGCTGGGAGCACACTTTCCTTAAGATATGTCTCCCGAAGCAATTCCTGGGGCCACTGGTTTCAGAAGCCTCTGGCTCTGCTAAGGGCATGATGAGCCTTGTCCACAGAGCCCTGGCCAACCAACCCATTCTCCAGACAAGCAAGTGGAGGCTTCAAGAGCCGGGGTGCCCTGAGGTGCCCAATTATCCAACCATTCAAGTCTTCAACTTGTCTGCCTGACCCCAGAACTTTTATAAATACCAGCCAAGGCCACAGTCAGAGTCGGTGTGTGTTCATCACAGGCAATCCCAGGGCTTCCCACTGGCAGCGTCCAAGGCTGTGTCCCACCAGATCTGGTGTGCGGGAGCCTGGAGGGTGGGTTCAGGAGGTGACTGGCATCTCCCAGGGTCCAGGCCTCGGGGGGGCATGGGAAAGGTTATCCTGCCAGCAGACATGAGCCTGAGCCTGAGGGCGGAGGCTGGAGCAGGGCCGAAGGATGAGGGGTGCACGGCCAGCAGGGTGCAGAACAACTGCCCCCCCTCACTAGGATTGCACAAGCTGCTCTTTCGACTGTGATTACTGGAAGTCCTTAGGATTTCTTCACTCAGGGCTTGGCTGGGAGTGGTGGCTGCCTCCCCTTCCTGCCTGCCTCCCTGGGTGATTAATGTCCTGAGGTGGCCTCTTTCCTGAGGAGCATGCTGGCCCGCTGAGGCCCCCTGCTCATAGTGAGGGGTGGGGCCCAGGGTGGGGGTGCTCAGTCACAGGGCGGGGAAGTCATGGGGCTCTAGGGTCACCTCTATGTCTTTTCCTGGCCGGTATGCCTGCCCTAAAGAATGGGGACATTCTTAGTGGGAACACTGTGTGTCCTCATCCCGAACCAGTCTGGGGAACTCTTCCTGGCTCAGCTCGGCCCGGACTCCCCAGAGATCCTCTGGGAAGCCGCTCCCGGCTCCAGGGGGGCAGGGGGCCCATGGGTGCCAGCTGGTTGGACTCTGCCTCCCAGACAGACATGCCGGTCACAAAGCCAAGTGCTCAGGGGTCACCCCTCATATCAGGGGTCTCAGAGCTCATGGCTCTGCATGTGGGTATCGATAGAGCTCTTTAGGGCCCACATGTTTGTTATTCTGTGGGCCAGGCTGCCTGAGATGGTGGTGTGACCGGCAGGGAGGGAATGAAGCGAGGTCAGCTGGCCATGCTGAAGAGGCTGCCCTCATCCCAGAGGTCCAGACCCAGGGACCCCAGGAGGGGGCCCAGGGTGGGGCTCCCTCTGGGTTTTGAGCGTGGAGGCCCAGTGGGGGGTTCTGCCCTGACTTCTAAGGGACCCCCTCCCCAGATAGCTGCCGGGGAGAGGCAGGAACTGAGGGGCATCCCCGGCAGCGCTGTTATGTTTGGGGAGCCTCCGCTCACGCCCTCCCATTGAGGTGAGGTGGTCAGGTTGGGAAAGGGTGTGGTGCCTGGCCCATGGGGCTCTGCAGCTGAGGCCGAGCCTGGGGAAGGCGCTGATCCCTCTGTGTAAGCCCTGCCCAGCTGTCCCTCTCCCACTGTCCCTTGTCCCTAGGGAAGGTGTCTTTGCCCACTGAGGTTAGAGGCTGATCTCAGGACATGTCGTGTCTCTCCCCAGGTAATGATGCCTCCACCTTGGATCAAGAAGCCCAGATAGACGCCCCCGTGGCCCAGGTCGAGGAGCTGCCTGATGCTGGCAGTGGGGTCCACCATGGACAGGGAGTTCCCACAGCATGAAGCCCAGCCAGCTGGCAACATGATATGCAGCCTGTCAGCTCTGCACAGCCCACGGTGTGGACCCAGCGTCCAGGTGAGCCCGTACCCCCAGGACTGGCCCTGGCGTGGGACACTGCCTTCAGGGGGAATCCTGCCTGCCACCAAGTTCCTCACTGTGAGCCACTAGGTTTCTTCTGCAAAAATCATGACACCCCTCTGGGAGCCACCTGCACTTGTGGGACTGGGACCACTGCAGTGGCTCATGGTTGTTTATTTTTCTTCAATATTTATTCTTTGTAATTCAATAGACCTTATTTTTAAAGAAATATTTTTATTGATTTCAGAGAGAAAGAGAGGGGGAGAGAGAGAAATATCAGTGATAAGAGAGAATCATTGATCCGCTGCCTCCTGCATGCCCCCTGCTGGGGATTGAGCCTGAGACCTGGGCATGTGCCCTTGAACAGAATCGAACCTGGGTCCCTTCAGGCTCTATCCACTGAGCCAAACCAGTCAGGGCTAGACTTTATTTTTTAAGTGGTTTTAGATTTATAGGAAAATTGCACAGAAAGCTTTTAACAACTGCAATCTATATATATAAAAGCCTAATAGGCAAATTGTTTGACCGGGAGTTTAATGGGAATTCTACCTCCCGCTATGACGTGCGCTGACCACCATGGGGTGGCGTGAAACCTGACAGGTGATGTGGTGCTGGCGGTGGGCCCCAGTGGAGGTGCTGCCAGTCCCAATGGGCCCTGACAAGAGCGGGACTGCGGTGGGATGGTAGAGCAGGTGAGTGGGCAGTGCCAGGCAAGGCGGGTGCAAACAGGGGCTCGATTGCCTTGCCGATTGCCGCACAAATGGCAACCACCAGCAGCAGGCGGGCCCAGCTCCTAGGTGCTGAAGGAGCCATGTGTGGGGGTGGGGGGCCGGGCTTGGACCCAGATCAACTGCCCTGCAGGTGGGATGATGGAGCAGTTGAGCGGGCGGCACCAGGCCACAGCTGGTGCCAGGCGGGGCTGGGAGGCTGAAGGCACAAGCTGGGGTACAATTTCCGTGGGCCACCCCAAGGGAGATCCCACCCATGCATGAATTCATGCACCAGGCCTCTAGTAAGTAACTTAAGCAACAAAACCACTACAGGTGCCAGTCTAAGTAACAAAACCATCACAGGTGTTGGGCTCTCATGTCACAGAGGCACAAGTGGCCCCAGGAGAAGGGTCTAGAATTCTCCAGCAAGTCAGGCCCGGCATCTCCTTTCCTGGGTGGAAGCAGAGCTCCTCTTCCACTGTAGAAAGAAGAACTGCATTCTTCGCCCTCGCTGGTTTGGCTCAGTGGATAGAGTGTCAGCCTGTAGACTGAAGGATCCCAGGTGCGATTCCGGTCAAGGGCATGATCCCCAATGGGGGGTGTGCAGGAGGCAGCTGATCAATGGTTCTTTCTCATAGATTTTCCTATCTCTCCCTCCCCTTCCTCTCTGAAATCAATAAAAATGAATTTTAAAAACATCATCAATAACAAAGCTGCATTTCTCAGTGGGGAGACTGGTGAGGAGAACAGGTGTGGTGTTGAGTGGCAGAGAACAGCCTGAGAAGCAGCAGGGATGGGCAGAAGGCTAGGTGGGCAGAGGGAGTAAGATTCAACCTTAAGATTAAGAGGAGCCAGGAAATGGGCCACAGATCAGATGGAGCTCAGGTTCCAGTGCTGAAACCACTGGGAGGCATCAGGCCCATATCCTGAGCATCGGAAGGGCTGGGAGGACTCGGACCCTGAATTTCCTCCAAGCTCAGCTGTGCTCACATGATGTCTTAACATGACAGGGCATGGAATCTGAACTTACTCAGACTTGGCCTTGAACCTTGGGCAGGCAGCGAGTTGCCACTTGCAGCTCAAAGCCTAGCTGAGGTCCAGCAGGGGCTCTCTAGGGTCCAGGTCGCGCCATGAGCTGGTTTAGCCTCCTCTCTCCTTCCTACTGAAGCTGTGTCCACATGTCTCCTGACCCTCCTGAGCCTCTGCTCATGTTGTCATAGCTGATAACTTCCCGTTCCTCCTTTTTTTTTTTTTTTTTTTTTTTAAATAATTTTATTGATTGTTTTACAGAGAGGAAGGGAGAGAGATAAGAGTTAGAAACATTGATGAGAGAGAAACATTGATCAGCTGCCTCTTGCACACCTCCTATTGGGGATGTGCCCGCAACCAAGGTACATGCCCTTGACCGGAATCAAACCTGGGACCTTTCAGTCCGCAGGCTGACGCTCTATCCACTGAGCCAAACAGGTCTCGGGCCCATTCCTCCTTTGATCCCCTTCACTGTCCCTTCGTGCCGCCCCATGAGTGGCATTGTGTCTGTTTCTGGGGTTCCATGGTGCCTGTTTCTTAGGCTCAGAGCACAGATTGCTGTTCTTCCAACACAGGATTCTTCCTTCTCAGTGCCTCATAATTTGCTTAATTATTTCCGTTGGGCCTTTGAAGCGGTTCCAATTTTCTGTTAGTATATGTAGCGCCCTGTGTTTTCCTTCCCCTCTTCAACTTGTCCCACCGCTGTTTCTGGAATACAATTTCTGGGTCAGAATGTGTACTGACTGGGTAGCTGAGGACAGAAATGTGGGTTCTTGCCACGTTCCCTTTATGGTGACTCAGGAAGCCAGCAGAAGGCCAGGATGTGAGCTTTGCCTGAACAGCCTGTGAGGACCTGAGGGGTTCAGACACTGGCATGTAGGGCAGCTATAAGGACCGTGCTGCATGGAAGGTACCAGTTGAACCCTGGCTTTGGGTCTGGGCTCCCCTCTGGGCAGTCAGATGTGTCTGACCAAGGCTGGACCACTCCTCCCCAGGCTGTGCACTCAGCCTGTTTCTCTGGGGCCACCAGTTGTGGGGGTCGCCCCTCGGGCCACATCTGGTCTGGCCAGGGAGCTACTGGCACCCCCTGTAGCCTGTGCAGCCTTCGAGTTTGCGAGAGTCAGAGCGGGCGACATGCTTCTTACTTCTGCCTCCTAGCTGGGAGGAACCAAGCTCAGGAAGAGGAAGCAGAGTGGACCAGGTGAGAGGTGGAGCTGGCCCCAGGATATTCAGTGTCACTAAAGTAGCCAGATTTAGCAAATAAAAACACAGCCGAAACAGTTTTGGCTCAGTGGATAGAGCGTCGGCTTGTGGACTGAGGGGTCCCAGGTTCGATTCCGGTCAGGGGCATGTACCTTGGTTGTGGGCACATCCCCAGAAGGGGGTGTGCAGGAAACATCTCTCTCATCGATGTTTCTAACTCTCTATCCCTCTCTCTTCCTCTCTGTAAAAAATCATTAAAACATATTTAAAACAAACAAAACAAACAAACAAAAACAAACACATCTGTCCAGTGAAATTTATGTTTCACATAAACACATAATTTTTATTGTGTGTGTCTCATGTAATACTTCACACTCAAAATCACTTCCTTGTTGCTTGTCAGAAATTCCAGTTTTACTAGATGTCCTGTATTTTATCTGCCTTCCTGGCAGGAGTTGTATCTTCCTAGTCCTTACAGATGGCCTGGGCAGCTAGGGCTAATGACCCAGGGCCTGCCCCTCCCCAGGAGAGGGCTGGCCTGTCCACAGATGGAGAATCCCCGGGCAGGCTCTGAATGGCTGAGTCAGGTGCCTGACTCTGGACCAGTCACATCCCAAGTCTGCCCTAGGAGGCAGAGCCACCATTTCTGGCTGCACTGGGAAATCCCAAGGAAGACTCTGATTGGTTGATTTGTGGTGCCACCTCTGGGGTAAGGGTTTGAAACTGGGTGGTCCCCCCTTTTATTTATTTGTTTGTTTGTTTGTTTATTCTTAATCCTCACCTGAGGATATTTTTTCCATTTATTTGTAGAGAGAGTGGAAGGAAGGGGTGAGGGAGGAGAGAGAGAGGAGAGAGGAGAGGAGAGGAGAGGAGAGGAGAGGAGAGGAGAGGAGAGGAGAGGAGAGAAATTGTGAGAGAGAGACACATCGATTGGTTGCCTCTTACATGGGTCCCTACCTGGACTGGGGAACTTGCAGCCAAGGTGCATGCCCCTGACTAGGAATGGAACCAGAGACCCTTTGGTCCAAGGGCCACCGCTCCAACCACTGAGCAAACCAGCCAGGGCAGTTTTGCATGTTCTTTAATTGTTTTTTTTAGAGAAGGAGAGAAACATCCACATGAGACAGAAACATCAATTGGTTGCCTCCCATATGTGTCCTGATTGGGGGGATTGAACCTGCAACCTAGGTATGTGCCCTGATGGGGAATCGAGTCCCCAACCTTTTGGTGTGTGGGACGACATTCCAATCAACTGAGCCACCCGACCTGGGCCAAACTGGGTTGCTCTTGATTGGAAGCCTTACTAGAGCTGAGTACCGGGGAAGAGATGGGGGTTGCTGGGTAGACAAAACCAGGAATGACCCCCATCATCCTGCCTTCCCTGCTGAGGCCTTGAGTACCTCGAGAACCTAGGGGCCCCTGGTCCAGGAACCTAGGGGCCCCCTCTACCAGGCTCCCCAGGCCTGATCTAGCTGTAGGCAGAGCAGATTGAGGAATGAACAACCCCCTCGGCCCCCCCCCACCCCAGACACCCACAGCCCCCGGCCAGCTGTGCCCCTTGTGAGCCCATAGTATAGGCACCCGCCCCCTGGCCTGGCCTGGCTGAGGTGCTGTCTGTGCACACGCCCGAGACTGTTTAGGCTGGTTCATCTAAGGAGGCTGAGCCTGGTCTGGAGTAGAATGTTCAAGAAGTGCCTGTGACCTTGGGAAGTTCATGTCCCCCTGGAGCTGGATTTCTCTTCCAATAGGACCACAGGGGTTAAGTGACTCTGGACCAAGGCCCTAGGGAGAAGTGGGGTTCCTGGGGGACCCCGTCCTCTCCAGGCCACAACATGGCTTCCTTCCATAGCGGATTCACTGTAAGAGTGTTTGTACTGCTGGTATTCATGCTGGGGACAGGCCTTGTGTTTCTTTTTCCCCAAATTTTTCATTTATTTTTATTTTGCAGCCTGTGCAAAAACTGAGATCGGGCAGGCCAACCAGGGCCTCTGCCAATCAGTAATGTCTCAACGTGCCTCTCTCCCTTCTTCCTTGCATTGATTTTCTGGGACTGGACACTGGAAGGCCCCTTCAGGGATCAGGGGTGGGGCATAGTGATGGGAATTCATGGCTGGCTCCCGCCTTGGCATGAAGGAGGCACAGGAGAATAGCGCTGTGGTGGTTTCAGACTTCTGGGCTGGTTCTGGGCAAGATTTGGGTCAAGGTCTCAGAGAGGGAGGGCACAGTGGCCTAGGGAGTTGCATTCAGTCACTTTACCAAGGACCAGGACCTGTGTGGGCCAGGTGGTGGGAGGCTGCCGTCTGCTGGGCTCCTGCCTTGGACTTTCCATTCGGCTGGGCCACCTGGGACCACTGGAGACCCTGACTGCAGCCATGTGCCTCTCCCCAGGGGACAGCCTTCCTGATGGGGTCCTATTGGGCTTCATTGCTGGTGAAGCTGTGACTTGCTTTAGGGGAGGGGACTCCTGCCCAGTTGACCTGTGTGTCAGCGTAGGACATGCCACTTCCATTGTACAGAGGGGCTGGCGTTTTCACGGTCCCACGCTTTCAAGCTAGTCCTTTCAAGTCCCAGTTGCAAGGCCTCTTATATACCCATTGACGACCTCAGGCTCGCGCTTCCTCACTGCTGGTTCCCAAAGCAGGTTCCTTGGAACCCCTACTCATACGCTCTTGGAACAGGCAGAGTTGGCTGATGCTGGTAGCTCCCTTGGCCCATGGGAGCTCTGAGGAGTTCTGAGAAGTGTGACCCCCTCAACTTGACTAAGAGAGGTTTGACCATGAGGGTCTTGCTATGGCAGGGGCCAGTTCATGGTGCTGGTGGGAGCCCCTTGCCCTGGCCTCGGCCCCCACCCCTCTGAGAAGTCCTATCTCGCTGGGTAGGCCACACATCTTCCCCGTGGGGCCTGGCCCTGCAGGGACTTGATCTATCTCGCTTTGCATCTGGCCTTATCCTTCACTTTGTAGAATGGGGATAGGGAGCCTCCAAGCAGGGTGTTGGATCACCAACTCACAAGTTGTTAAATACAGTTTCCTAAGCCCAGGCCTGGGTGTCAGATCTTGGGCAGCTGGCAGTCTTGGCTCCTCAGGCTTCTGGGATTCTGGGACCACACCCACCCATCCCCACCTGGTCCTGTATGTGTATTGATCAATACCTTCATCTTTGCTGCAATCATCTCAATGGGTTCTCCCATGCATGTGGGGAAACTGAGACACACAGCGGTTAAGTGAGTCCCGGGTGACCCAGCTAGGGGCCAAGGGTTGGCTCGTACCCTGACCTTGAAGCCCCTGCCTTTGGACCACTGGAACCCTACCCAGTGAGTGAGGCAGGTTCCTCTTCTCCCATCCCTTCTGATCCCCTTATGATGCATTTGTTCTTTTGCAGAGCACCATGCTACACTACCCGTGGTGGAACACCCAATATCCAGTCTTCTCCAGTGAAAGCCAGTAAGTGCCACAGCCCGGGTCTCATTCCATAACCACATCTCCGTCAGGGGCTTCCCTCTGCCTTCCTGTTCCATAGTCAAGAATTAAACAAAACTAGAACTCGTAGCTGGAGGACTTCAACCTCCTGCCAAGTGGGCTATGGATCTGGTCTTGGCTGCTTAGAAGCAGTTGAGATCAACCAGCTATGCTTTGTCTTAGTGAGAACCCACCAGGGAAAAGGGCAGAGGTAGTGGGGATAAGCCAGGGAAGGACAACAGGTGGGGAGGGTGAGAAACTTTGGGAGCAAAAAGAACCAGGCATGCATCTTCTTCCAGAGGGCAACAGGAGCTGGGTTTTGTAGGACAAATAGGGGTTTGCAGGGGAGCATGCCTGGAAGCAGGCCAAGGAATGGCGGGATGCCAAAGCCTCGAGGCATATGTAGCTGGACCCTCTTTTTCTGGGACATGGATGCTTGGACCCCTCCTCTGAGCTGAGTTTCTGAGAGACCAGAGTTCTTCCTGTTGGTGGGTGGCCCCACTCGGGTTCTGCACTCAAAGTGGGGAGGACAGTGCCCCTACCACACCTGACAGCTCACCTTCTTTCCTGTCTCTCTCCAGCCCTTATATGAACGTTGTGGGCCAATCCTGCACAGACACCAGCTACAGCCCCATGGCCGCCACCCCCAGCTTCCTGCCAAAGAGTGACTTTCCTCAGGTAGGAGACTCAAGTTCAAGCAGCCCCTGAAGCCCTCAGTGGCCCAGTGCCTACCCACGGGATCCCTGCTCCATCTCAGGTCGGCGCCAACCACCGCTCCTGAGCCACGCGCCATGTGGAAATATAGCTTATTTGGGGGAATAACAATGCGCCTTAGCCCTGCCAGCCCCACTGTTCTGTCTGGCAGAGCAGTTTCATCACAGTAGAGAGCTGGGTCAGAGGTCATGTAACGGAGGATGGGGCTGTCCCCATCTCTCCTTTGCTCACCTCCCGTGTATGGGTGATGGGGCCGCCTTTTAGAGCTCCTGATTTGCTTTCCCCAAACCTCGGAGCCTTCTTCCTTCTCCTGGCGTAGGCCCTGTGTTCACCTGAGTGTCTGGGGAGGATCCTCCATCCCTCTGCCCCCAGGCAAGAGCGGTGCCCATCAGGTGCAAACACCACAGTGAGTGTCTGTGTCCTCAAACCTAGCGGCCTTTTGAGAACATGACACACCAGTCGAAGGAAGATAACGTTTGATTTATTCTCTTGGGGGACATGGGGCAGCTCAGCTCCCAAGGAATCCTGCCTCCCTGCCCTCACCATCAGGATTTTTGCATAGCGTCCCATCTCTTCATGGCAGCTCTGGAAAACAGCTCCATGGAGATGATTCTCGGGAAGAAGCCCACCCTCGGTCTAATGCTGGCACCTTTGCTCGAACCTGATTACCTGGGACCACCGAGGCCTTGGCACTGCATTTCCCTGGGAAACTTCAAATGCTCCCTGAACCTGTTCTTTGTGGCATATGGTTTGGGAACCACAGGTGTGAGGGTGCTGAGGCCAATCAGGGAGGGAGGGGGCAGCAGCCGCTCAGCTCCCAGCCTCAGTCTCCCCCTGTGAAGTGGGGGATGCGAGGACAGGCTGTGGAGGGATGTAGCATAAATCAGTCAGTTAAAACCCACTGGACTTGCTTGGATCCAGGCAGGCCATTTATCCGGCTTGCACCCACTGGCGCCAAGGCTTCAGCAGGACGGGGCAGAGAGCTGGACCAGGGGAGGAGGGTGGTGGTCTGTACTGTGATAACCAGTGTCCCCCCCTCAAATCCACATCCACCTGGATCCTCAAAATGGGTCCTTCTTTGGAACTAGGTCTTTGTAGGAGTAATTAGCTGAAAGTGGAACTGAGAGGATGCTAGCTATCTCAGCCGGCCCTAAACCCAGCTAGTCCTTAGAAGAGGAGACACAGAGGACAAAAGCATGTGACCACAGAGGCAGAGACTGGACCATGTGGCCAGAGCCAAGGACACCGGGAGTAGGAGAGGCGGGAGGGACCCTCCTCCACGGCTGTAGGAGCAAGTGTCTGCTCTTTTTTTTTCTTCTTTTTTTATTCTTTAAATATATATTTTTATTGATTTCAGAGAGGAAGGGAGTAGGAGAAATAGAAACATCAATGATGAGAGAATCATTGATTGGCTGCCTCCTGCAGGCCCACTACTGGGGACCGAGCCCACAACCCAGGCATGTGCCCTTGATTGGAACTGAATCTGGGACCCTTTAGTCCGCAGGCTGACGCTCTGTCCACAGCCAAACCAGCTAGAGAAAGTGTCTGTTCTTTTTGGTGATCCTTGTAGCCACCCAGGAAAAGATGAGGCTGGGCCTCATGGAGATGGGAGCACAGGGCTTACCTGCCCCTCGGGGCCTGCGGAGGAAATTTGAGCCCCCAAGTGTCCCAGGATAGAGGCCGTGATGACAGAGATGAGAGGCCCTCTGGACATGGCCCTCCAATCTTTCCAGGTGGGTTCGAAGTTTCTTCCTTCAACTCTGGAGCATGAGGACACCCTGGGCCTCCAGTTTAGCAGGTGCCATTGCACAACCTTGGGAGGTGCCATTGTCCAGTGGGTTCAACCTCTCAGGGTGCTCTGGCTGTCAGCTCAAGACCCTCCCCCATTTTCTGCATCTCTGCATGTTGGCTTGTCCTCCAGAGCTGGTGACCTTCTCAGAACTCTGATTAAGTTCCTCTCCATTTGTCTCGGACATGACTCCATATCCAGACTAGTTATTTCCTGATGCTGTTTCCCCATTTGGGGCATCACCTGACATGTGAAGGAGGAAACTGAGGCATGGGGTGTGCAGAGTCCACGGCCCTTGGAAGCCTCCCAACCCTTGTGGCCACCCACCGGGCCTTACTCCCCCATCTCTCTAATGCACTCAGCTCCCACCACCTCCCCTGCTCTGCCAAGAAACAGCGCGGATTCTCAGCCTAGAACCCCTCGGGACACCACAGCCGCCTTTCCTAGCACTCAGAGGTCATGTAGCCATCCCACACATGTTTATTGAGCGCCTGCTGAACACATGGCACCCTGTCCCCCCTCCAGTCTCCTTGTTAGGGCACCTTGGACCCAGTTCTCCATTTTAAAGCAGCAGAACTGCCCTGGCAGTTGCTTGGAGCATCGTCCAGTGCACCAAAAGATTGCGTGTTTGATTCCTGGTCAGGGCACATACCCGGGTTGCAGATTCCCCGATTGGAGTGGGTACAGGAGGCAACTGATCATGGGAGGAAACCAATCAGTGTTTCTCACATCAATGTTTCTGTCTCTCTCTATTTCTCTCCCTTCCTGTCTCTAAAATCAAAAAAAAACACCAACACCAAAACAAACTAACAAAAAACACCATATCACCCAGCCAGCATGGTGGCTTAGTGGTTGAGCGTTGACCTATGAACCAGGAGGGTTTCGGGCTCAATCCCCGGCAGGGGGCTTGCAGGAAGCAGCTGATCCATGTTTCTCTCTCATCATTGTTGTTTCTTTCTCTCTCCCTCTCCCTTCTTCTCTGAAATCAGTAAAAAAATATTAAATATATATGTATTTTAAAAAATAACAAACACCAGATCCTTGGGTGAGGATTTAAATGAATAAATAAGGAAAGCAGACCCTTCCTCCAACAAAATCTTACCCCAGTGCCGAGTGTTGGATCATACAAACATGAAATCAGAGTTTGCTCGGGGTAAGGGGTCCTGAGCCCTGTTGGTCAGCCTCCTGTACCTCCCACATGACCCCCATGATCCCCAGGCCTGTGATCCGGGCCAGGAAGAAGTCCAGACGGAGCCTAGTATTCAAAGCCCTTTATAGCCCACCAAAGCACCTCTGCTCCTGATCCAGACTGTGACATCAGAGTAGTGGCTGGCTTGGAGACAGCTCCAAAGATGTCCCAATCCTGGTCCTGGGACTGTGGACATGTCTCCTCATATGGCAGAGGGACTTTGCAGATGAGATTAAGTCAAGGATCCTGACATAGGATTGAGCCTGGGTTACCCAAGGGGCCCAGGACCCTCCCTTCTGAGGTACCTGGACCTCTGTCTGGGCCCCTGGAGGAAGCTTAGTGCTGGAAAGCTTCTCTGTGTTTGTCCCCTGGCCAAGCCAAGGGCTCCTTAGACCCTTCGGACCCTCTGACACTCAGCTCTCATGCGCGCACGCTCGCGCTCTCTCTCTCTCTCTCTCTCTTTTTTTTTTTTTTAATATTTTGAAATTGAATTGGTTTTTAGGGAGAGAGAAAGAGAAACATCAATATGAAAGCAAAACATCGATCCGATGCCTCCTGTGTGCCCATACTAAGGATTGAGCCCTGACAGGAAATTGAACTGGCAGTCTTTTGGTGCATGGGATGACCCCCAACCAACTGAGCAACAATGGCAGGGCAGACACCTGGCCTCTAAAACCCTTTTATACAGTTTGTTTAAGGGATCTGGGGGGGAGCCTGAAAGAAAGAATGCATTTCACTGAGTGGGTGTATTAGAATACAGCCCCAAAGATGTCCCCATCCTGGTCCCTGCACCTGTGGATATTACTTTACAGCTGGGATTAAGTCTAGGACCCTGAGATGGAGACAACCCTGAATTCCCCATAGGACCCAGTGTCCTTATAGGGTCCTCATAAGAGGGTCAGAGTCAGAGATGGAAGAGGCTGGGCTGCTGGCTGTGAAGATGGAGGAAGGGGCTAGAAAGAATTCTCTCCTGAGCTTCCAGAAGGACCAGCTCTGCCCACACTTGTGTTTAGATTCATGAGTTACATGTCGTACTCTTTTTTTTTTTCTTTTTTTTCAGGTAATCTTTTTTAAAATTTTTGTTTTGTTTAAAGTATTACATATAGTAGTACCATTTACCTTCCCCCAATCTCCCCTATCCCCTGTCACTAGCCCTCATCCCACCCCCACCCCCAGTGTCTTGTGTCCATTGGTTGTGCTTATATGCATGCATACAAGTCCTTTGGTTGATCTCTTTCCCCCTTCCCCAACACTCCCCAGCCTTCCTGCTGTAATTTGACAGTCTGTTCGGTGCTTTACTGCCTTTGTATCTATCTTTTTGTTCATCAGGTTATAATGTTCTTTATTTTCCATAAATAAGTGAGATCTTGTGGTATTTTTATTTCATTGCCTGGCTTATTTCACTTAACAATGCTCTCCAGGTCCATCCATGCTGCAAATGGTAAGAATTCCTCCTTTTTTATAGTATTCCATTGTGTAGATGTACCACGGTTTTCTAATCCACTCATCTGCGGATGGGCATTTAGGCTGTTTCCAAATCTCAGCTATTGTAAATTGTGCTGCTATGAACACAGGGGTGCGTATATCCTTTCTGATTGGAGTTTCTGATTTCTTGGGATATATTCCTAGAAGTGGGATTACTGGGTCAAATAGGAGTTCCATTTTTAGTTTTTTGAGGACACTCCATACTGTTGTCCACAGTGGCTGCACCAGTCTACATTCCCACCAGCAGTGCACGAGGGTTCCTTTTTCTCCACATCCTCGCCAGCACATATGACAGTGCTTGATTTGTTGATGATTGCCATTCTGACAGATGTGAGGTGGCACTGCATTGTTGTTTTGATTTGCATCTCTTGGATAATTAGTGACTTTGAGCATGTTTTTATATCCATGTCGAACTCTCGATCTCTAGAACCATAAGGTAATAAACTTGTGTTGTTTTAAGCTAGGAAGTTTGTGGTAATGTATTACAGCAGTGAAAGGAAA